AGAAGACTAAAATAGATAAAATACGTTGTAATAAAAACAAAAAAAAATTTATTGTATAATACCACCCTCTATTTATAAATATTTAAACTGCGTCCTATATATAGGACACCCGGACTCAAAGGGTTAAATAACATGATTCCTGTGAGGGAAAACAAGCCAAGCTCTCCCCGCGGTGTTTCCTGGATAACGCTAAAGGGCCTCTGCAAACCTCTCATGATGTACACCACATATAATATTCGTACCTCGCCCAGATGTGAGATACTGTCACCTGGCCCTGGAGCCAGGCCTGGGGATAGAGCTCATATGTGAGCGTCTGGTCGTCGATCGAACACTGATAACCGTAGATCGACCGGGATCAACCCGAAAAAGTTACGGGGACCAACTACTCAACATCAGCAAGTGGCTAGCGCTAGTTTCGCCAACTGTTCTAGAAGATATGAGGGGGCGGCGCGATGCCCCAATGGCACGTTCGATAGAAACAAACAGCTAAATCGACAACATCAATACAAGATGACTATTGGTACATGGAATGTAACGACACTTACTGGCAAAGAAATTGAACTAATTGAAGAAGCGAAAAAATATCAACTAGATATACTTGGAATCTCATCAACCAAGGGAACGGCAAAGGATGATTAATTTTAAACAATGGATGGCAATTATTTTACTCCGGCGTCGACCCAACAATTCATGCTCAAGCGGGAGTAGCAATACTTTTACATCCTTGTCTAGTAGATGCAGTTCTGGAATGCAAACCAATCACTGCAAGAGTAGCTCTTCGGAGACTTCAACTAAACAAGACAACTCTAACAGTTATTCAAGTGTATGTACCAAACATCGAAGTAGCTTACGATACAGTTCTTACAGCTGTGGAAAGCGTCTCGGTGACAGATTCTATAATATTAATTAGAGACTTCAGTGCACATGTTGGAAACGACTCACAAACATGGAACGGTGTGATTGACCGAAATGGTGATAAAGATCTCAATAATCAAAGCCGATATTTATTGGATTTTCGTGCAAGTGGTGGTCTATCGATAATGAATACCTTTTTCCAACACAAAAGCATCCACAAATATACATGGTACAAAACAGGAGATGCGATGGCTCAGCGATCATTGATTAACTTCTAGGGACGTCAATTTTCTGTTAATTTATTTTAAATTTATATTTATATTGCCACAATTTAAATTTTATTAAATTTAAATTAAATTGGCAACTTTCATTTTTCAACGATATTTCATAAAAAAACAACAGCATTTCATGTTTAACAACACATTCCTCTATATATACGTGCTGTATTGCGTTCCAATTTAACCGACATGTGCTAACCTGCTTTTTTCCAAAATAAGCTTTTGAATAATCTCTTTTTTTTCAACTTTTGAATCTTGTAACTCGGTCTTTAGATGTATTAAATATCATTTATTTCAGCTTTTCGCATTGATAATAGAAAGATTCTGAGTCTATGTATAGACATGCAGTTCAATAAACATGCTATAGAATGATAGAGATCACAATTTCTTCGATCTTTTACCTCGTTAGTGGTTATATCAACAGAAAAGGAAATAATTATCTTGTTAAAAATGTAACTGTCAGGTGATACAGCTTTACGTTGGTCAAGAAAGACACGTAGAGTTGCTTACTAATATTGACACTTGCTCTTGAGTAACATCTAGGTTTTCTCATAAAATTTAGCAACCCCGGTATTGAAAGTTTTGCTTATTTCGCAAATCTCTCACTTTCATTATCTGTAATGTGTTACCACCAAATCATAATCAAGGCTTTTGCTGAAAGTGATCTAGCTTTATTCATACAAAGAGTGTATTATCTCTTTCTCTCTCCTCTGCTCATTTCTAATAGATTACACGTGAACGTTGTCTGTACTGGACGAGAAAGAAAAAAAACGAGGGATCGACATTACAGTGGAAAGTCTATTATATATCTGATTTTCTTCCTTTTGTATTTCTTACCGGACGTAGAAGAAACAGAACAGAGAGCATCGATTAGTCCATTTCGAATTGTGTCAAATATTTCGTTATCTTGAATATATAGTTTTTCGAACGAAATCTATTTCTGTCAGCCTATTACTGGTTCTTCATTGATAACATTTCAATGGCATCCTCATCATCTTATGGATCAAGATATTCAAGAAGAAGTTCGTTGTCAACAGTAGCAAATATTCAAGCGAATCAATCGCTTAATCGTCAACAATCGAAAAAGAATTTGACCGATTCTCCTATTGCTGATGTTAAAGATGAACGTGTTTCTCGACGACGTTCTTCTCCAAGTGCACGACATTTGAAAACTTTACAGATGCAAACAACAGCAGCAACACCACAACGATCAAGAAACAATGATGATGGAGATATAATCGGGATGTATGATGAAAATGATAATCAAGATGATCAAGTTGAGCAACTGAACATCTCGTCTGCTTCAATAGCTACAGAAAGCATGGAAATGTCTCAACAATCGAGTTATAATAATTATTCAACTTCTGTTAATGGTAACAATATGGGAAACAAATCAACTATAACAAAATATGAATTATTAAATCGATATTTTAAAAAACTTAATACTGGTGGTTACTATTGTAACTTATGTAATGGTACAAAACATGCGCAAAAAGTAAGGTTTTTTAAATATTGCGCAGAAGTGATCACTAAACAATTTCTGTTAGAAAAAACGATTTAACAATATGTATATTAGAATGAAATTCGACAGGGTTATATTCGTTGTTTATTGGGTATACTTTACAAAATAATAATTTTCTCAAAATACGTAGTGTTTCTATTGCCCTCTATGTAAACTTGGTTAAGTAAAAATAAAAAAAATGCATAGATCCAGTTAGGAGCACAACCAATGATATGTTCCTTAAAAGTCTTTCTTTAATATAATTATACAGTTTGATAACGAGACACTGTTGTCTCAAGTTACGTGCCTTGAGGAATCTGATATATTCATGGTCACATAATGGTTTAGAAACTATTTTAATCTCTATTAGGTCAAATTCTAGTAGATTCGAATTTATGCTCACTTTTAACCAGTACGGACTAGCAGTGTATGAAACAGAAATAAAGCGTCTCTTTTGTTTATTTTAGGTTCATAAACAAGTACCCCATATTCCGATGCTAATCTTCGTAGTCATCCAGTACAGCACCACAAACTTTCGGAATTCTTATATCCATCTCAACGTTTACATATAAACCAGTAACGAACCTTGAATTTTTTATGGAATATACCCCTGGAGAAAATTTTTTCTTAAATCTTAAAAAGAACGTTTTCTTCGGTATTTTGAGGATATTGTTGCCAAAAGAACGTATTCTTTTTAAAGTAACAACATATTCTGAAAGCCCGTGAAATTTTACATCATCCTGTATATTTTTATTTTTGTTTGGATCGCTGTGTAAAAAATTATTCCAATGAAGTGAACACACCCTCAGTACCTCATTTCCACAAAGCAAAATTTCCACAAGCACAAAGCTTGTTTCGAAGTTGGACGGGTGCTAATAAACTAATACAAGACATAGACAGTCGAATACGAAGACAGAAAGATAGACATGGATACCCTCAAACTGAAAGAAATGATACATATAAAAATGAAAATAGCGCATATAATGTGAAAGCGTGACTACAGCTACAATAGAAAATTTTTGGTCACGTAAAATAATGCCTAGAAATTAAGATTTTTCTAAATGACACAAATGCACTTTATTGTTTGAAAAGGAGATACACGTAGGTGAAGAACATTCATGGTGAGATTACATTGACGATAGACTATGAACGCAACTTCTATCTGTTGAACAAACGTCAATTTTGCCGACGATAGGTCTTGTTACCGTTTGAGTTTATGTAATACTGTCCACCACGTTGTCCCTCGAAAATGGCTTGACCGTTGGCACTACCTCTGGTACACATATATTCACCCGTGAACCGGTCTCCACGACCTCGATCCATTCCGGAACTAGCAGGTCTCGACTGTCCATAGGGCATGCACACGAAGGTGTTCGTCGGAGGCATAGTACTACCCAGCTCCATGCTCCGCAGTTGGTGAAGCAACGATTGATAGTCGCCTCTATCGTCCCTTCGCGAGTGTGTTGCTAATTTTTCTCTTTCTTCTTTTCTACCCTGAAATCATACAACACGTTGGAAAAAAAAAGATTACTCCTGATGAATAAACTCACTTTCTCAATCAATGTCTCTTCTTGCGCTTTTTTCTTGTCTCGCTCTTCCTTTTCTTGTTTTAGCTGCTTCTCTTTTCGCTCTTTCTCGATGCGTTCGTATTCGGCATTCGTATAGTATTTGCCACCGTTTTCTACTACCATTTGATCAATTATTTGTAGCAGTTCCTTCATTTTTTTCTCCAGATATGGACCACTCGACTTATTATTAATGGTAATTTTACGATTTCTACAACTATTTACAAAATTTTGCAATTCTCTGTCCTCAGATATGAAATCGTCGATAGTTCGGCCGTCCAAACCGTCTTCATGGGTGAAAACGACGATACAGTACGAAGCAGCTCCTGCACCAAAAATCATCTTGATGAGATTGACGGTCTCTTTTTCTTCAGGTGAATAACGACCGATACGGAGAACAATCAGAAAGGCATGAACACCAGGTGACGTCATGTTGAAAATTTGCGAAGTGATCTTTTCTTTCACCATTTGGTTGGTGTTCGCCGTATTCGAATCGAACAAGCCGGGTGTATCGACAACAGTCAGTTTTTTTTGTTTTTCATCAATGCCTGGCAAATCATATGTTCCCGGTTGGCAATCTTTTGTAATCGACTTGGGTGATGGTGTCGAGTGAAAAACGACTCTGCGCAACAATGCATTGCCAGTCGCACTTTTTCCTTGAAGAGAAGAGATATGAATATGGGAAAAAGCATTGTGTATTCGACGCTTACCATTTCCTGTCTTTCCTATTTACGACGCGCAATTCGTTTTGTGACGAGGTCTAGGCAAAAAATATGGTTATTGTTCGAACATCAAAAAGGCATTTGTCGTACCATGTATTTTGTTTTGTTTGTTGCCGTTGACAAAATTCACCGAAACGCAATTCAACAGTGATGTCTCGCACCTTCTTATACTGACTGTCGAAAAGGAAAAAAACCCACTGAAGTAATGACTGAAGAAAGACCAAAATCGATGACACACGACGGAGCACTGCCATAGAAACGTTTTTTTCTTTTACTGTGGTACATCTGTGCGCAACTTCGTTGCTGTAAAGTAACGCCATTCGAAAAGAACGGCAAGAAACTTTTTATTCTCATTATTTTCACTGGGTATTTTTCCAGCTCCGTCGATTCGAATGAAAAGAAATTGCAAGCGTAGTGTGAAGGCAAATGTAGATATTTTCACTACTCTCCGCACAGAACGACATGCCAAAGAACTGTCAATTGGGACCGGTGCTCAGCTATGGCTCTGAAGGTACTGTACACTCTGGCACATGGCGCGGCACACCTGTAGCTATCAAGGTATTCTTAAATCACTATGCACGTCGTGCCGAAACCGAAATGAAACTTGTGTCGACTCTCAATCATATCAATATCATCAAATATTTCGATCTCGAACACGAACAAGCAATTGCCTATCTTGTCATGGAATACATCACGGGTGGAAATCTCTACGCATTTATTCAGAATAATTTCACCTCATCTACGTACTGGTCAATCATCTGTCAGATTCTAGCTGATGTGGCTCGAGGAATGGTCTATCTGCATGATCGTGGCGTCGTTCAAGGCGACCTCAAAAGCCACAATATCCTTTTGCGTGATGGTACTCTCCAGGCGGTTATCTGCGACTTTGGTATCTCGAGGTGTCTCAGGGATGATGCTCAAGTCAAGAAGCGATACGGCAGCGCAAAAGGTACTGTGGTTTATCTTTAGTTTTGCCAATTTGATGTTCAATTTTCAATACAGGAACGATCCGTTGGATGGCTCCTGAAATTTGCACTCCTCCCCCAGAGCAATCTTCGGTCGAGTCAGATGTCTGGAGTTATGGCTGTATAGTGCTCGAGACCACAAGCGGTAGCGAACCGTGGACGGCTCAATTTAACGATGATGCTGTTCTCTTTCGAGCTCTTCAGCGAAAGGAGAATGCGATTGTCTTTGCTAGAATCTGTGCAAATGAGTGCGGTCCGTCACGTATACTTCAGTTACTCGCTCGATGCTGTACCTGGTCAAAAGCTGATCGGCCACGGTTCGTCGATATTCTCAATCTGTACAAAGACGTGCAGGATGGAGTTGTGTTCGTCGATGATACCACGGACCAAATGTCCATTGAGGTGCCTGTCTCTCACGATCAGCCGTGCTCTGATGAAGATCAGACGAAAGAACCACATCCATATACTTTCGACGAAGACACAACCTCAAGAACACAAAATGGTCCATTACAAGGTCAAAGATTTGTTGATAGCCCTAAGAAAGCGTTTCTCAAGTCAAATGGACACCAGGGACGTCTCACAGGAGAAATTTATACAAGTACCGGTAGCGCAAGTGGCCGGCCCATTTACGAGGGTATGAAAGGTGGACGGTACTATGTGACAGCGAATGGATCCAGAGTGTATTTGCGGAAATAAACTGAAAAAATAAGATCTCCTTTCGTTATTTTGATTAAGGAGCTACAGTACTTTTCATATTTTTATCACAACGATATTGAGTATACGTGTATTTGTTAGGTGTTCAACAAATAAGTCAGTTTTCTTTTCGTCTCGCCAAAAGACGCAGCAAATTTTTTTCTCTCATCTGCGGTAAGAGGCACTTTCGTCATAAGGGGTGTACTTTTGTCATAAGTGACGAAAATGCGTTTTCCAGAAAAAAGCATGGTGACGTAAGTTTCCGTGAATTTCTGTGTGCTTTTTGTGGCTGTGACGAAAATTCACACTTCAACGACGAAAGTTCCGTCGAGTGTGACAAAAATACCTTTGTTTTTAACGGTTCCTGCTTAATTTTCATCACACATAAATACCGCTATTAATGCAGAATAGAATCAAGTGCTGTGAGATTATTATGTGATCGGAAGCACTCCCTCAGTAAGAGCTGCACCTAGTATTTACTACAGCGCAGTACTTCCTTAGCAAGTACTTACAGCGGATTATGTGCCTTTCTCACGAAAATAACAAGTAAAACCAATGAAGTGCTTCCTGAGGTAGTACTTTCTGACTAAGTATACTACTCACACTTTAAAACAAAGAAACATATATAGAATCATACATATAGAATCAAGTATTGTGAGATTATTATGTTATCGGGACACTCTCTCAGCAAGATCTGCACTTAGTATTTACTACACTGCAGTACTTCCTTAGCAAGTACTGACAGAGTAAATAGTGGCGTGTATATACGTTTTCGAGTGCTATTTGTGGCTGTGACGAAAGTTCACTTCTACATAAATTGTAACTTACAATGAACAAAGACGTATTGCTCAAAACTTATGAACTTACTTGCTAAGGAAGTGGTGTATTTAACGTTCTTTAAATGTGACTTGTTTCATGACACTAGTTCGTTGTTCTGACACGAAAACGAATGAAAGAGTCCGTTAAGTCTGTTTTAAAGTTCATTAACCATGAGTGTGATATCCTGACGATGACTTGTCTTTTTCTCATAAACCTATCGATATCGCGAGGCACTATTAGCTTACAGTCTTAGCTGCACAAAAAATGACCGTTCTTTTCACCTGGAACAGTGAGAAGCATAAGCTGCACCTTTCGTAACTGAAGTCAAATCATAAACATATTGTTTGAATGCTATGTTCAGTTGTTGACTACATGTGAGACAATTGTCGGTGAATGGTTTTAGACAAATTATTGTTGCATTTGTGTCCGCAACTGGACTGGAAATATAAGTGGCGAACAGTTGATCAACATCACTTTGTATGAATTAGTTCTTTCATTTCTCCTTTATCTAATCGGATAATTAGATCATATATAGTTGATTTTGTTAAGTCTGTTTTAAAATGTTCATTAACCATGACTGTTATATCCTGCTCTCGTGTTTTGATGCATCTGTCGAGACGATTATTAAGATCATTTATGAGTTGTATAACCTTAATTCTGAAACAACGGTGTGCAGTTATGATATACATTTCGTTGTTTGTTAATGCGTATTCTGATGACATACGGATCTGGAAAAAAAAGAAGAATACGGAGAGCCACTAAACAGTCGCAAAAAGAACGTGTGCGTTGAGTTCATTTTTTTTCATAAACCAATCAATATCTGAAACTATTAGCTTACATTCTAAGGAGCATGAAAAAGTCCGAAGTAAGGTCGATAAAAGTTTCTATCTGCTTTTTTATTACCGATAAACAAAGTAGCTGAAGGATAAAATGAAGAAGAGCTGGATTATGAACAAGAATATAATAAACAAAAACAAATAGAGTACAGAGAGTAAGCGACATAGTAAAAACAGCAGTAGTATACGAATAAAATCTAGCCGTAATTAACTAATCACCGAAAAAGATACTACCCTTAAACCCACGAAAACGAATGAAAGCACAAGAAACAAAGCGACCAGACTACTAACGATTTTTCAAGTATTACAGTTAAATGAAACGTCCACTCTTATATCTTGTACCAACCGGAGTTGGTCTACCTGCTCGTTTGGGAGTGGTGGGAGTAGCCGGTGCAGAAACAGACGTCGGAATGACTAACACGAAAAAAGAAACTGACAGCAAGATAGAACACAGAACAGCAAAACGGGCAAAATAGGAGAGTAGCACAAGGTAAACCGAGATGATAAATGCTTCTTACCAGTAGCTACTAAATGTGGCGAAGGTGACTGAAATCCAACCGAAGCACAAGCTGCTATTGTACTGCTAATGTAACAATTGAAGCTAATGTAACAAGCTTAATCTAAAATAGAAAAAGAAAACTGCTTATATCATCTTGCTTGTTCTCTTTCAGAATCCGTGGTATGTGAGGCAGTCACTCTGTCTTTTCATAGATAAAGCTTTAGCTTGAAAAGATTTATTAACGAAGAATTATTTTCCCCTTCATCAAGCCACCTTTTCCTTCTGAGCTCTTTTCACTTGGCGAGGAAGAAACCTGGTCACTCTTACGTGAATCCAAAAATAGAAATATATTGTTAATACATCAGTTTCTCAGAGACAGAGTGTTACAGGCCTGGGCCTTACACATAACGCGTAATCATGATCTAAGCGTATATTATTGCATCATCTCGTCACATGTTTAGCCGCGTGACTTCTAGGTCCTACATGTGTTATTGAAGAATTATTTTCTTCCTTCATCCAGTTCTTTGTTTTCTACATTTATTCGTTTTCTCCCTCGTTCATATATATCTATGGTTCTTTTTTTTAAGTTTGTTTCAATAAAAGGAGATTCCGCTTTTCGACAACAATCGGTTTTTTAATATCAGCTTCAATTTAGTGAGACCATCGCTCACATTTGTCGACTCTGACAACTTCTTCATAATTCCTCATCATCTGAAGAAGAAGAACGAACTCAAGCAACATTAGACTAGCGGTAGTTGTGATTGGAAACTTATTTGAGAGCCCACCGAAAGGTAGACTCATTCTGTTGAGAGCCGGCCCTTAGGCAGACTCATTGCTGCATGTACTGTTCATATTCCATCCGTGAGAGTTGTCTTATAAGGAGACTCATTCATAATTACTCATACATTAATTCAAAAAAGAGGTGAGTGTATTTTCTTTCTTTGCGTTTCATGAATAGAGTTATCGAGGACTGCTCTCGTTGTGCAATCTTTTCTTGGACTTGGAATACTCTTTTCGGTGGATCCGTGTTCTTATTCCAACAGACATCTTTCTTGAAGAAAGATCAGTTCGTAGATCTCACCGATGAGGAGATCATTTTTGAATCCAAAGATGTTTCTCAAAGAAAGATTGTATTGACATCTTACTGCTAGCGACATCACTGTTCACATTTCTTGGACATATTGATTTTTACAATATCGAGAACGAATCACGCTCGATTTTCTTTTTAAAAATTGCACTATGTCAATAAATATCGGGAAATCCGAATTACTCGTTGGTTTATCATAATTATTCATAACGGCTTCGGGGACGAGATCAAAAATAAAAGAAACTTGTCAAACATTAATCTCTTATTATCACATTATCGATACTCCTTCTCGACAACACAAATCCAGTTCGCTTACTGCAACACCAAGCGGTCCGTCTCCCACCGCAGCAACTACTACATCATCTATTTTATCGTCTCAAATCATCAAAATGTCTGACTCATTAATTGCATTAGTTCGAAAGGACAGATTTACTGACCCTCCCAGTTTCTCCGGACAACCATCAGAAGACGTTGAACAATTTCTGAGGAGTATCAAGAACCTAACAAGGAGTGATACGGAAATCACTGATGCTCAGCGGTTGGAAATTGTTCGAGGCAAATTAACCCAGACGGCCGGTAAATGGTTCGACGATAATGACTTTCAAACATGGTCAGAATTTGAAACAGCATTTCGAAATCGATATTCCTCATCCACGTAATCTCAACTTAGATTCGATCAGTTATTACAACGAAAACAGGAGCCATCTGAAGCCGTTGCCATGTATTTTGATGATATTGTAGCATTATGTAAAGAATTAGACTCATCAATGTCAGAGAAAATCATAGTCCAACGTCTGATGAATGGCATTCGTCCCGAATTTCGAATGCCGCTCTTTCGTCATGAGCCTCTGATCCAACACATTGAAGTATTCCTGAAGACGGCTAAGAAAGAGCAAGATATTCAAGAAACATTTCAAAAACTTGATGAATTGAAATTTACCGATTCAAAACCATATTTTGCACTTAATCCAAAATCAATCCCATTCACAGCCACCGTTCAGCAACAACCATATCAACACCCGCATCATTTAGCTCGAACTTCATATCAAGCAACACACGAGAGCTCCGCTCTAATGCGGAACTCATTCCCGTCTCAATCCGCTTCACAAACTCAGCACAAATCGCCTAATGTCCAACAAAATCTTCAATCGGGAGCGCTACGAAGTCAGTCACACAAACAACTATCAACATTTTCACCTCAATTTGATCCATGTAAAATTTGTGGTAGGGAAGATCATGCTTCAATTCATTGTTATTACAAACAGAAAACTGGTCGAGAATCCTTACCTGAACGATTCAGAGTTCCAGATTGTGATGAATCAACATTGTGGTTCAATTCCATTAATGGAGATCGCTTATTCAACTGGGAGCCGCTGGTTCCTTCCCTTCTGGTCCATTGTATTGCTTTCGAGGCATTGGCGAAGATTTTTGGGGTGCGATCAATGACTTAATCAATCAAAGTGCAGAGAACAGTTAAATCACACACGAGGAGAATGGGAAGGTAATTTTCACCTTTGCATGTTATAATACCCAACGAATCCTACATGCGTACTTAAACCAACAACAACTCCTGGTGAGATATTATCTCGTAACTCACTCTCATGTAAAAAACCTTTCCGCCCCTCCCCGCGTTCCCCCGAACTGCGTGTGACTCACCATTTTTCCATGCTTCATATTTGCAAATAGAAAAAGGGTATTTATTTTGTATGCAACGCGCAAGACTGTGATCAGAATATGTAAGTAGTCTCGTAAGGGATTTCAGAACGCAGTTTTTGTTTTATATCTCAATGAAATATAAGCAAGGAAGAGAAATATGGACATTATCGGTCGTGAATGGAATAGAAACAAGAAACATTAAAGCATCTGATATGCGATTGTATAGCTCTATATGGCCCTTTATAAAGCAAGCGCCATTCCCTGTCCAATTACACATATCTCGCCCTTACCTGAACGATTCAGAGTTCCAGATTGTGATGAATCAACATTGTGGTTCAATTCCATTAATGGAGATCGCTTATTCAACTGGGAGCCGCTGGTTCCTTCCCTTCTGGTCCATTGTATTGCTTTCGAGGCATTGGCGAAGATTTTTGGGGTGCGATCAATGACTTAATCAATCAAAGTGCAGAGAACAGTTAAATCACACACCAGGATTATAATGTGCCTCGGTAAACCAATTACTTGTTAATTTATCCCAGCGCTGGAAATCGTACGGTTTCTGAAGACCAATAAATACGTGATGTGTGCCAGTTGTTGGTGACACTCGTGTGAGGACTCTTGATTGCGGAATTCCTTTTCTATCTAACACTTCAATGAATTTTTTCGTCGACCACAATTTGTAGATATTCCGTCGGGTAATTTCTGTTGCAAATTTTCGAGCGCGTTGTTTCAAAGTTTTTTGACGATTCTTTCTCTTCTTTTGTAACTCCGATAGTTGGGGTTTAAGCCGCTGGATAACAGCTAGTGTCAGATGTGGCTCGCTGTTCGGCTGTTGAGTATTTTCAAATGATGATGCCGGCGGTGAGGCTGAAATCAGAAAAGGATATTCTTCTGGAATTGACCGAAAATCATCATTTCTGAGGTGCGCTTTTCCCCTCTTGACGAAATTACGCTGGAGACGAAGGGACATGCGGCCCCCTTACTGAAGTCAACTGTTGGTGGTTTTTGGTTGGTTTTTTTCTAAAAAATAATAAAAATATTTATTTTAAAAAATATTTTCTTAGCGTTCCATGGAGTAAAAAAAGTCATCGTAACAGATGAAAATTTTTTTCCTACTTTGTGCGGTGAATTTATATAGTCTTTTATATATACTTAATCATAAAAGAGCACATTTTACACAAATAGAAGCTGTTATATCACGAAAGAAAGCACATTTTCATAACCCAGCAGGGCTGGTCCGACACAGAGGAGAGGGGGCGAGAGAGAAACTCCTTGATATTCGAAAATTTTCATTTTTCCCAGCGAAGCTGAAAAAATTTAATTTTTTGCATTTATTATTTTCGAAACTATCGAAGTTTTTCTACTTTGCTGCTTGTCAAGTCTTAATGATTTCTATTTTACCTATCACCCAATCAAGGTAAAAGATAACATAAACAAATAAAAATAAACAATGAACACGTACAAAGAGTTTCGCATGAAAAATCCTATTTTCGACAACGTTTAATGTTAACGTGGTATGTAAACCTTAAACGTAAAGTTAACGTTAATGTAATAGGTACGAATACCAAAAGTGTAACTATCTGTATGATCAAATCTATCACTACACTAATGTAGTTGAAATAACTGATTGTACAAAGTTTATTCATTAACGAAGTGTAATTTCTTTCGAAAAAAATGAAAAGTTCGGCAGGTAGAAATTTATTGATATTAGAGTAAACGGCTCAGTTTAACGTTTAGTCCCATCCTAAAAGTTCAGCATTTGGAAATAACACTTTTATACGATTATCGCTTAACCCGCGGTATTCGAACGAACGTGGGTCAAGATAGACATGTCTGACACGGTTACACATTGATTTTAATGGTTGAAAAGAATCATTTGATTTTTTCAATATATCTGACACTACACTGTGTCGTATGTATAATTGTAGAATGTTTGGTGTCATTAATAATAGTCGTCTGAAATGTTTGAATTTTAATTGATTTAAAAGAAACACTACGCAAACGATGTTTTCCATGATCAATTCATTACTCAGTAAATTATCACTTACACAAGGAATAGGAGCTACGACAAATATTAGTTTTGTTGCTCTTGGAAATGATTTTTGAATAATTTGGAATAATTCTAACGTATAGAGAGTCTTATGTCTTATCACATAAACTAATTTGTTTCGTTTTGTTTTGTTTACTGTGTAATGAAATACCATCGTTGATATTTGATCGGTAATTCACTAGATCATTTGAAACATAACAGAATTTATTGAACATAAAGGGTAATGAAAATACACAATATTGATTACATAGCGGTTGATTAAAACATAAAATCGAATGATCATTATCAATCCAGTAAGATGATTTGTATCTTTGGATATAATCGTCTATGTTCAATGTGTTATCGACAACTGGAATACGAAAACAAAAATGAAACACTTTCAGTTTTGTTAGTGTTGTTAATAACTTTTTTTCTAAACGTTCACCACCAATAAATTGGTCAATATATAAATTCAATGATAAGTATTCAAGGTTAGAGCAACAATGAGATAATAACAATTCTAAATAATCATACTTAGCAGTGAAAATAGAGTAGAATACAAAACGTTTTAATTTTGATAATGTCGAAGGAATATTTTTCTCATAATTAAATTGGACTTCATGGTGTTGCTGTTGTGATTGCAGGTGTCTTCCTTTAATATATGGTATAGCAATATTTGTAGATTCGATTGAAGGTAAATTGTTTAACAAAACATATGCATTATGGAAACAATGTACTTTTATTGTTAAATTTCTAATAGAAAAACATCGTTGAATGATATGAGTATTGACGGGTACGTAAACATGATCCAAAAGTAATGTTTGTAGTCGACAATCGGATTGAAATAGATTTGAACATACTTCATTTGGTACAGTTTCATTATATTCTGTACCACTAAAATAAATTTTTAAATTTTGTAATTGTCTAAACAATTTTAAATGTGATAAATATTTTCCATCCTTTTCGGCTTGGGCTATAAAACTGATTGAAGATTCGGATATATTCTAGAATATGTTGAAAATGGCAAAATAGAATCAATGTTTTTATCATCAACTTGAATTGCTTTGATGTGATGTCGAATTTTTGGAAAAATTCTTTCACAATACTTGTTCAGCGTACATCCATCGAGATTGGATAAATCTATTGTGCATAAAAATGGATAAATAAGATTATTAAAACGATCATTTAAATTGAAAAATGAATAAATAATTTCAATAGATTTTAGATAGAGAAAAATAAAGTCATACACTTCATTTGGTAGACTTGATTCTAGTGTTGATATTTCCTAGAACAAGAATATCGTTGTATGCTAGATTAAAACTGATCTCACTGTAAAATATCCAGAGAACGAAATAGCTCATCTTGATGAACAACTCGTAACAACCCAAACGGATCTACTTCAAACCCATGTTTATTGAGTTGTTAGACATATTTTATGTCTGATAAAACAGGTTGATTTTTTTATCCTTGTTTTCAGAAATAGAATATTAAGCAGGAAAGTGGACTTGGATTGTCAATCAGAAAAGATGAGGTGAGTATATTCAAGTTTCGCTGTATCACAGTATGTTCGCTACTGATCTTGCAGAGGAGACTGATACAAAAAGTTAAATTCAATTTTATTCGTTTTACTTTAGACAGGAAACAGTAAAAGCCGTGACATGTAAACACTGTTTCCGCGTTGAGAAAATAGAGAAATACAAACAGGAAAATGGCAATGATCGGCATAAACAAGACAAAAAGTTTAATGTTAAATAGATTTTTATGTAATAGTTGTTTCAAACGAAAACAGAAATGTGTAGTGTATGCCATCAAAATTTTACTGTAAAATTCCTTAATTGATTTGTTTATCACATGAAATTCTATTAAAAACAAATTCTAGTTGTCGTAAGATATATTGCTAGAAATGTTTGACTATAAATGGAATGTTGTTCGTCTGATGTTTCTGAAACACTTATAGGTGAGATTGGATCTTCATAACTATTTTTTATACTTTTGTTATTTTCCAATATTGACCACTATAATTACCAGTTTTGTGAAGTGTAAGCTTATTCTTCTCACCATCATTAACAACATCAAGAGATTGATCATAACCTTGCAATTTTGAAGTTAAACGATAATAACTATTTTCTAATAAAGTAATCCTCCAATATTGACCACTATGATTATCGGTGTTAGCAAGTATAAGCTTGTTCTTTTCCGTGTCGTTAACAATATCAAGACATTTACCGTCACCTTGCCATTCAGTTGATAAACGATAATAACCATCTCCAACTGATGTAATTTTCCAATGTTGACCACTATAATTGCCCGTGTTACCAAGTATTAGCTGATTATTATTTTTACCATCGTTGACAATATCAAGAGATTTATCATCACCTTGCCATCGTGTTGTTAAGCGATAGTAACAGTTTGCATCAAAACGTCGTTTTGCAACTATAAAATAAACAATGCACAAATGAACGAACATCCCTTGTGGGAGTGAATTTACTAAAAAAAGAGTGACCATCGATGTCTTTTAAATAACGTTCGAAGAAAAACAGAGAATTGCAAATAACCTCAACAAATATGTTCTAAAATAAACTTCTAGTCATTCGTAATCATGTTACATACCGTCTTTTATTTGAAATAATTACTCTAGCTCAAGAACGCTATGTTCACTGCTAACAAACGCTGTTCATTTATCGCCAGCAACAAAAAAATTTAACTCTGTAACTTGTGTAAGTAGATGATGACAAGAGTATCGTGTCAAACTTTTGAAACCAGCAAAATTGATTTTAAAATCAAATCAAAAATGCATTTAGTCATTATTCTCCTGTTTATTCTCATAGATTTGCTTTTTACGGTCTTCGATCTATGGTAAAAATTTAGGTCCAAAATACCTGGTGTTAACCCTTTACACCCCCTTGGGTCATTTTTGGCCCATTCGTAGAAAGTTTGCAGAAAATAAAGAAAGCATGAGATTCAAAAACTCCCAAGACAATATTTCTAGGAAACTCCATAAGCTATCGATTGGTAGAAAAAAATATTTTATTTCGTTGCTCTGCCTTTGAAATACAGTACTTGCAAAACTGATAATTTTGAAAAAATTTTAAAAAACG